TGTGGAATAAGAAAGAGAACAATGGAGAGTGGCATCACTAAATATTTTTGACAAAAGATCGTTAATACACGAAGGAAAGAGGTTGGGCAAAAGTTTGGAACCACAAGAATGGTTGAGGTAGAACCTCATCGACTCTAACGGAGATGGTTCGCTTGCTGAGAAATCATTGGAGCCATGATGTGATAGACGCGGAATCTAAACTTGGGTAATTTCGACAGCAAACTTTCGTGCCCAACGTAGTCGAAGGCCTTAAAAGTAACGATGGAGACCATGTGAGTTTCTTCGTGGTCATCGAGTGTGGATGACTGGAAATGCGATTTGAGCGCCAGTAGGTCACTCGTAGATCGACGAGGGCGAAATCCAAATTTACGATCATTCAACACACCGCGTTCCAGAAACGGACGCAGCTTGTGGGAGATAATAGTTTCAAACATTTTCGAAACTACAGAAGTGCGAGTGATAGGACGGTAATTGTAAGGGTCAGAATTGTCACCACACTTTGAAATATGAATAATAATGGCATTTTTCCATGGAGTGGGGAAAGATCGAGTGGAGAACAGACACATTTTTAGGGCGATAGGTAGAATGCCTTTCGGACCGGTTGGTTTACAAACGTTCAAACCACGAACGGTTTGGCGGACGTTTCTGGTTATGACAGTTAGAAAGAAGTGGCCGGATTTATGGGAAGAGAGTCAACAGATGAAGTAGAGTAGGAGTGAAATCGGGAAGTGAAGATCTCTGCCTTTTCGTGGAGTTCACAAACAGAAGTACCAGAGGAATTGCAAATGTGAGGAATGTTGGAAGGGCAGAAGTTACGTGAAACTGCCTTAGCGAGGAATCAGAATATTCGGTTACCAGTTTCCGAAGAAGCCAAGCGCGAAGCTTTGTGGTAAACGAAGCGTTATTTAGCTCTCAGTATGGTGAGCGAGCATTTGTTACTGCACGAAGTGGTTGCGGGACGATGGAACGTCGAGTTTTTAAAACGTACAGCACAATTGCGAACATGATTGAAGCACTTAGGGGATCTTGGTTTGCTGGGTCGAAAAAGTGTGGAGTATAAAGATACATACCTTGCCGAACAATTTCTGTGAAGTTGGAAACATAAGTGAAAACATTAAGGAGCGCTAAACGGTACAAAAATAATGGTTGAAAGAAGGGAACCGATGTTTTAATCACGTCAGCTGGAATTCGCGATTGGAGAAATCTAGGTGCGAAAGTCGGGAAGCAGTGATAGGATGATGGATATAGGCGCAGACACCAACTTTAAAAAGTAAGAGAGAGTGGAGGAAGCAATTTGGCAACTGAAGATGAGTAATGTCTGACCAGGGTGGTATTTGTGTCTCGTTTACAAATAAAACGAAATGGGAAGAAGATTTCAAGAAAATGTCTTTTCACTTCCTTTTTTTTAATAAATATACAAATGTTCGGTCTATTTAGCTGGTAGACTGCTTTCTAATCTTATCATTTCAATAAATCCGTTTCAGTTTGTCGTCAAATCTCGTTAGCAAATAGTGCAATCGCTGTATATGTGTTAGGAATCCTTGTGATGTGTTGGGTGGTAGTCAAGATGTAATACAGGTTTACTAGATAACATTTAGTCGGAAGAACTTACGCCATCATCCTAAAGCTACTTTGTCCCCAAGTGTCACCAAATTGTTGGCCTCCGTCATACTTCTACCTTCAAGATAAACCAATATCCATGAACAACGAGCTGGATTCTGACCAGGTCGCGGGTGTATTGATCAGATTTGTACGTTGCGTCAAGTTCTTAAATTGTATCGTACCTATCATCGATCAACGATCATGACTTACAAGGACCTTTTGACCCGGTCGACCACAAGACTCTGTTCGGTTCCCTTTTTCGAAAAGGCATGCCGCAGGAATATGTTAGCATAAGTTCTTTGCGCACATATATATATGATCGAGTGACGGCCTACAGCGAACGAACTAGCTCGTTCGTTACCAGCATCAGTGCTCTTCAAAGGTGCCCTACTTCGGTGTTCTTGTTCTGTTTCGTTGTCGATAAAATACTGATCTCCAAAATGGTATTAATTGGAGAACGCACTAAGTGGTCTCTCCGATGTGACTGGCCTTTCTAAACTGATGTCATTGACATCCTCATTTCCGAGGAGAGGGATTACTTCCTGCTGCCTTGCAGTTCGCACTTGGTTGTGCAAAGCCTAGAGGTGCGCCCTCAAAACCAAACTCCCGAGGAACTTCATGATCATGCCCGGAGCCGGCTTATCCTTTCCAAAGAGCCAGCCACATTAAAAGAAAAGAAAGATATCGAGTCGGCAGCTGAAGGAAAGCTGATGACATCGTCTGTTCGATTGTATGGCGGATAACCTAAGCGCAATTGACAGACTGACAAGTGCTGTTACTCCATTCGATATGCGCTTTATTTTTCCGAAATACATAATAGTGCTACTACACCGGCTGTCTACTAGTCCTTCATTGAAACTAGACAATCAGGAAGTTACTGTCTCCACGATTACGTTTGTTTACCGCAAAAAATGACTGATTTATTTGTGATAATCTGATATATGATAATTTAAAAGCAAAACCGTGAGAACATTTCTCATGTGAATTTCCTCTCACTGCGTGTGTTCCGGTCGCGCCACATTCACTGTATTCCCACCCCGCTGCAGTATCACAAACAAACAAGGCGGTAAACTGATCGTGTTTATGGCCACTCAGGATTGTGTGGATTTTCATTATCGACTGTTCAAAGCTGTTCTGTGCCCGGACGACGACGATGAAGAACTTGTCATTCCGGCACATGCGTCACGTCTTTCCCTTTTTCGTTTGCACGGAAGCATGGAACATTCGGTAAGTTTTCCCCCTCCTTACAAAGTCGATAATACTCGATTGCTCTCATTGTTTTACCGTGCCAGATTTTCTTCACAAATTGCTTCCTTAATCGACTCTGTCTATTTTAGTACGCGTTGAGGGCTGTTCGTAACTGAGGTGAATTTCTAGTCAAATCTGTCGTCCTGGGCTCAAATGGCCCCTTTTTCAGAAAACTGATGGGGGTAAATTCGGTCTATACGGAAGAGTAACCAATTCACCGTAACCAATGCCTTACGGCCAGGTGCTTGTTAGAAGTAAAGACTAATGGAGAATTCTAATCGGTCTGCTTCTT